TGACAGAGGTAACAATAAAGGAAAATGCACAGCTTTGGTAACACTGATCTTGTCTTTTGCTAAACTCTTAACATTTCCAAGCAAATTCAGAAACTAATTGAATGGATTTAATGTGTAATGTATTTGCAGTTATAGACATATACATATGTCTATACCTGGATATATATAAACCCACATGCAATCTTGTGCATGCCCCATGCTGAGTGCAGGGTCCTGAAGCAAATGGGATGGGTGGCATTTAGATCAGGGCACCCTGCCCAGCCTGTGATGCCCAGTGCAGGCACTGAGCTACTAGGGTTTAACTGGTCCTTGAGCACTGAACACTGTTTTGAATTTCTCTGTCCTCATAGGATTTGCTTGATACTTAACCCTGCACACTTGTATTAATTTTGCTGATTTTTGTGCTTGAGTTGCTGGGGGAATTACTGAGCAGAAGGTCACAGCTGTTTCACATTTTGCAGTATAAGGCGCTTTATCCCTTTCCACCTTGCCCTTTAGTACTGCCATGTGGCAGAAAGCAGGGATGGAGATAAGGATTAACTTTATTTAATGTGATATTTAATGTGTGAAAAGGTCCCAAACCTTCTTTTTACAGACAGTTCTGCAAAACAGACCAAAGGACTTTTAAAGTAAAAAAAAAAAAAAAAGTTAGGCTTTGTTAAAAATATAAAATAGAATAGTTAATATTTAAATTACAGAAAAAAAAATCAAGAAATACTACTGCAAAGGGAAGAGAAATGAAGATGGGATAAAACCAATGCTCTCTTCACCCATGGTCTCCCTAGAAGCATGTCCTTGTCCTCAAACTTTATTCCTGCCATCAGTCACTTTCTGCAGCAAATAGTGCTCACTTTGTAAGAAGTCCTTAAGGAACATGGTCTTTAGGAAGTTTTCTCTGTCACCTGAGATGCTGCTCTCAGTTCCTTGCAATGCCTCTCCTATTCCCATACTCATTGTCTCCCAAAGCCCCTCCCCTTGCTCCTTCTCGGCTGGTGTCCAGGGAATGTGTGATTTCTCTCCCATGCTCAAGGGTTTCCCCTGACTCAACCACCCCATTTACATAACATGAGTGGAACAGTTGAGACTGAACAGGTCAAACACACAGCCTGCCACAGGATTGCAGATTGTTTTCCTGAAAAATTAATGGAAAGTCTTGTCTGCTTCATTCAAACAACTGTCAAAAGTCTGCTATGCTGCAGACAGCATTCAGGGGTGGGGTTTTTTCCAAGTAGAAATAGAGTGAAAATCCAAATAAATGTCATCCATGGGATCCAAATACACCATCATCTGATGCCTTCATTGTCAATGATGTTTATAGCACATGACAAGTCTATTCCTGAATGAGCACTGCTTGGGCTTTGCCTCCATGACCTTCTCCTCTAGTTTAATATCTCTCCAATTTATGGCTGGCAACCTGCATGGAAACTTAGAAACCCAGTGCTGAGCCCTGCTACCAGTTATCGTGGCCCAGAGCTGCTGAGGGACTCTGCTAACTCTGTCCAGAAACACGGAGGTCACACACTGTGACAGTCACAGCCAGCAGCAGGTGCAACTTCATGGGACTCAAAATGCAACCCCACTTTGAAACCTTTCTCTTCTCACAAGGTCAAGGAGGAGACAGGAACAATCTGCCTTTGCTGCGTGTCTCACCATGCAAGAAGCATTAAATGAGGCAATAAAAAAAGCTGAGAAGCCTCTTCTGTGAAAATGCTGCCATTTCTGCAATGTGATTGCTTTTATGGCACCTTTTACTCAAAAAAGCATTTAAGCAAAGGTAAGGGTCCAGACTGAAGTGGTAAGAGAAACAAGTGAGAATGTTTAAATCTCAGCAGTATCTCTGCTCCAAATTGCCAGGGGAGGAAAGGAAGACTGTCAAGCACAGTTCTAGGCTCAGTGACACCAGAAATACCTCCTGGCTGACCAGGTGAAAGAATGTGTTTATTTTAGGTATTATATTTTCTTTGTGTTAGATCTGTATGTAATACTCTGGGTAGGCTAGCATACATAATCCAAAACCACTTTTCTCCTCATCTGCAGATTCAGCGAAGCTTATAAAGGATCCCATAAAAGTAATTTAAAATATTCATGCAGTGTTCATCAACCATGTGTCCCAGTAAACCTACAAGGACAACTTAGGGCTTTCTAGGCAACTCCTCTTCAAAAACAGTACTCTTGCATGCAAGCATTACCTCTGTGCTGCAATGACAGCATATGCTGCTGTTTGCAACATTAAACATCATTCAAAGGAATAATCTTCATGCTGCTAACACAACAGCACTGTCTTTGTTTTGATTTGCCAATTTAAATACACTCATTTTTTTGTTGTGAGACAGAACCAGGAGCAAAAGAGCAAGGCAGGCCTAAAACTTGAGAGTATAAAAGAAAATTTATTAACTACACAAACAAAGACAAGGAAAAAAAACAAATTCAGAGTAAGATTTTTTTCAGACCACTCTTTCCTTCCCTCTCCCAACTTTCATAACAACAAAACAAACATATAACAAATACTTTGGTCAGTTCCCAGTTTAGTCTTTTTCAGTTCACTTCCGGAGAGAGAAGCCTCCTCTTGTTGAAGCTGTAGGGATTTTTCCACAAGAAGGAAGAAAACAGTTCTTTTGTGGTTTCATTTTCACGATTTGCATCCGCCCAGGAACCTGCAATCGTGACACTCCTCCCAACTCCACAGCCTTCCCAAAGCTGTAGATGTGGGCCATGTCTGTCTCATGGGGTATTACTTTTAAGGATGAAATGTTCCACAGCAAAGGTTCTCTTCATCTCTTTTCTCTCTGTTCAGGCTTCATCCTCAGAAAACTGAGATCCCCTTCTTTCCTCGGGGCAAAGATTCTCAACACAGGTGCTCTTTAGTCAAATCATCCATCAAATGGAACATCTCCATTCCCTCATGTCTTTCTCCATGGTTTATAGGAATATTCAGTACATCAGTTCATCCTTACAGTCTTCCAAAGGACTTTCAGCCATCTACAGCATTTCCTCATTCTTCTTCCATCTAAAA